GAGAAAAACACGTTTTAAAAAAAATAAACCTTTTTTTGTTAATTTTATAAATATATAAATTTATCATGAAAAATAATCTGTTTCTCTATATTAATAAAATGTGTTAAAACATTCAGATTTTTAGAACGATGATCAGAAAAAAAAAGTTTATTGTCCGTGTATTATGAAATAAAATAAAAAAATATCTAAATGTCTCTTCTGCGTATAATTATTTCAATTCGATATGCTAAAGGAATTTTCTTCGTGCGGTTTCTGAGAAACTCTCAACTGTGACGTGGTTCGTTGCCTTCTTTCCCTTTAGACAAATACAATCCATGTACGAATCGATTATAAAGGCTAAAAGAAATATTGCATCAAAGTTAAAACAAAACGTCAGGATTTGTAATTGATGGATATTTTGAAATCAATTTTCATGTTAGTTTAATATACATTTATATTATTTTTATTAACTTTTATTATTAGAGAAATAAATTTTTTTGTCAAGGTTAATGTCATTATTGTGTAATTATTAATATTATTATTATTATTATTATTATTTTGTATTATTTCTATTAAAATTGTGTGTTTCATCATTTTATTCATTTGCATATATGGTCATCAATTACGTCATTTTATCAAACGTAGCAATAAGGATTTAACATTAAAAAGAAATATAAACTAATAAAAAACTTTAAAAAATTTATTTCTCACTTTTCTTATTTGTTTTATAAATATTATTGAAAAGGAATTTTAATTTGAAAAAAAAGAACATATTTCGAGATTTTCATGTGAAGAAAAATTTTTTCTCGAAACAATGGCAGTGATAAAAACTGTCATAAGAAATTTAGATCCTAGTATATATACACGCGTTGACCTCGCGTATTTTAGAACGCGAACGTGAGTTACGTGCCTTGGCAGGCCCAAGGCTGTAACACACAACCCTGCTCACACATTTAATACAAGTCTCTATTATCAGTAAAGTTCCTCTCATTTTCCTTTAGAAATTCATATTCATTTTCAGCTCAATAATTTATTAAATTATTATACACAAACATATTTTTATTTATATTTTATAATAATTTTTTTTTTTATTTATTTACAAAATGTGCTAATAATTTTTTTTTAATATTGTATTTGAAAATAAGATAATTATGTACATGAATCTAATTTTCATAGTGCGCGATCATATCTTGTTTAAGACGCCCACAAAATCTATTGGTATATATATATATAGTGAAACGAAACTTATGGGGAAAACGCACATAGTTGCTGCCAACGAAAGCGAAATTGCAGCACTACAGGTTGGCTACTGGTGCCTTGCGAAATTCATTTTGCAGGGCGAAATTTTATGAGATGCAACGTTACCTTCAGAAAACGTAAATATATTTGAAAGTTATCGAAAAAAAATCACAGAGTTTTAAATCTTCGCAATATATTTGACACTGGGCGTTAAATCATTAAAAATCATGTTTTATTGCAATATTAAATAAAATGGGGCAGATATTTTTAAAGTAGAAATTTACGAGAGAATGAGGCTTCAGAATAGCCCTAGATTTATAAAAAAAAATTCACAAAAATCATTGACGAAGAATTAAAAGATGCGAAAAGAGACTAAAATTAAAGTTAGAGTGCGATTTTACTGAACAAATACAAAAACTTTGTAGGAGCCGGATATTTTTTCGAACCAAAATTTAGTGAAAAATCAAAGGCTCCATGTTAGCCCTAGTTTTAATGGACCTGTTCCTCGAAAACCGCGAATAATTAAAGAAAAAGTGCGAAAATTGACTAAAATTTTAGTTTAAATGCGATTTTACTGAACAAATACAAAAACTTTGTAGGAGCCAGATCATTTTTCGAATCGTAATTTTGTAAGAAAACGGAAGCTCCATGTTAGCCCTAGTTTTAATGGACCTGTTCCTCGAAAACCGCGAATAATTAAAGAAAAAGTGCGAAAATTGACTAAAATTCAGTTTAAATGCGATTTTACTGAACAAATACAAAAACTTTGTAGGAGCCGATACATTTTTCAAACCAAAATTTTGTAAGAAAACAAAAGCACCATGTTAGCCCTAGTTTTAATAAAATTATTTCATAAAAAACACGAAAAATTTGAAAAAAGTCCAAAAAAAGGTGTAAAATTAGTGTTTTTTAAGGTATGATTTTTTTAAAACTAGGGCTAACATGCACAATTTGGTTTCTTAAAAAATTTTGGTTTGAAAACATATCAGTCTCCTATAAAGTTTTTGTATTTGTTCAGTAAAATCGCTTTTAAACTTGATTTTAGACCTTTTTTTGCTAAATTTGTCCAATTTTCTTGAAATAATATTATTAAAACTAGGGCTAACATAGAGGTTTTGTTTTCTTACAAAATTTTCGTGCAAAAAAATATCTGGCTCCTGCTAAGCCATTGTATTTGTTTATCAAAATCGTAGTAAACCTAAATTTTACTCCTATTTTGCCCTTTTTTTTGTCTTTTTCTTGAAATTTTAATTTAAAAAAAAATTCCTTTGTTTTTATAAAGCTCCAACGAATCATTTGAAATCCCTTAACAACTCACATGGAATATCCGGTGTGCGTTTTAGACCCACGTGAAAGAAAAAGGAACTTTCACATTCTTTTTAAGAGCGTCAGTATATCTAATAATTAGACTCTCAAGATGTAGAATATTAATGTCAGTATTTAGCAAATGTTGCACGAGTGTCATTGTCTCGGGTAATTGCAAGTTTTCGTTTACTATTATTGACTCGAGACAATAATTAAAGTAACTATTGTCCTGCCTTATAGTCCATTAGCGTTTCGTTATAAGTTACCTTATGTCAGGTCAAGGATCGTCAAGAGTTAAAAAAAAGTCTCAAACGAAAAATTGGTCCCTGACTTTTTACGACTTTAATATGCTCTATTTAATAATACCAAATTTTATAAAGAATACCAATAATAATAATTTTCGAATATTATCGAAATTTTTTTTCAAAAGAGAACTTTTATTCATCAAAAATCTTTAATGAAGATTGCTTCTTTAAGAAAATGAAGCATAAAGAAAAAGAAAATTTCAAAATGTTCCTTATATATAATTAAGAAATGAAAAAGATTGATAGGTGGAATTAATTTGTAATTGGAAAAACTACAGTTATTATATACCTTTTCGTTCCATAGAAGAGTAATTGTTATACTATTAGACACAAGAATGTTGATTGGTATTATTGCTCTGTCATTAACGCAATATTGTATTAAAGTATCTTTAACGGTAGCTACTTTTTAACAACTGGTATCGATAATTTGTCGCATTAATATCATCATCTTTCTGTTATTGACGAATTAAAAATAATTTTGAAAAAAAATTTATTTAATTATTTCAAATTATTTATAATTTAAAAAAAAAAACGTCAAATAAAAGAGAGAATTTATAAATGTTATATTATATATTCACTGTATAATCATATCTCTATTGTTTTCACAATGTTGAATTGTTGTTTAAGAGGACAATTAAAAATTCAAATGCACTTCCTTGTAAACATCAAAACAAAAATTACAATGATAATTGTTTAATGATTATCATTGCAAATATTGTGTTACATAAAAATAGCCTTGGTATTATATTTACAACTTTGTAGAAAAATTAATTTTAGACTCATTGTAAATCGCAATAAAACTGAATTTTAGATAATTTTTTAAAGTAATGTGTGATTTTCTAGAGCCGGTTTCATTAAAATTAGGACTAACCTGGAGCTTTTCGTTTTTTACTAAATTTTAATTGGAAAAAATATCAAGCTCCTATAAAGTTTTTGTATTTGTTCAGTAAAAACGCAATTAAACTTGATTTTACACATTTTTTGCTAAGTTTGCACGATTTTCTCGAAATAATTTTATCAAAACTAGGGCTAACATGGAGCTTTCGTTTTCTTACAAAATTACGGTTCAAAAAATGATCCGGCTCCTACAAAGTTTTTGTATTTGTTCAGTAAAATCGCATTTAAACTAAAATTTTAGTCAATTTTTGCACTTTTTTTTAATTATTCGCCTTTTTCGAGGAACAGGTTCATTAAAACTAGGGCTAACATGGAGCTTCCGTTTTCTTACAAAATTACGGTTCGAAAAATGATCCGGCTCCTAGAAAGTTTTTGTATTTATTCAGTAAAATCGCATTTAAACTAAAATTTTAGTCAATTTTCGCACTTTTTCTTTAATTATTCGCGGTTTTCGAGGAACAGGTCCTTTAAATCTAGGGCTAACATGGAGCTTTCGTTTTCTTACAGAATTACAGTTCGAAAAATGATCCGGCTCCTAGAAAGTTTTTGTATTTATTCAGTAAAATCGCATTTAAACTAAAATTTTAGTCAATTTTTGCACTTTTTCTTTAATTATTCGCGGTTTTCGAGGAACAGGTACATTAAAACTAGGGCTAACATGGAGCATTCTTTTATCCACTAAATTTTGGTTAAAAAAAATATCCACTTCCCGAAATGTCATCATATTCTTTTGTCAAAATCTCACTTAATTTGAATTTTAAAAGCAAAATTCGAGTAAAATATAATTTTACTCTTCTTTTTTTAATTTTTTCGCACATTTCTCGTAACACTTAAAATTTAGTTTCGATGAAGGAATGTAAGGAGAATAAAAAACAGACATTAGGTAACACATTAATTTACCAGCAATAGTGAAATAACAATATTGAGATTATTCACATGAGGAAGTTGGAATTTTTTTTCTTTGATGAAACAAGTGAGAAAAAGTCATGTCGCTGGAAGTCTTTATTCTCTCATCGCATGTGAAAAATGAAATCAGGTGAAAATGAGTTTTAAGAAAGAATCTGTCACGAGTATATACACTGATATAGTTTTACGTATTAGATTAGTGGGGAGAGAGAGAGAGAGAGAGAGAGAGAGAGAGAGAGAGAGAGAGAGAGAGAGAGAGAGAGAGAGAGAGAGAGAGAGAGAGAGAGAGAGAGAGAGAGAGAGAGAATCGGCTTCACGAGAGTGTATACTCTCTCGCATCTACGATTGTGTATGGTTTGGCCGGTCAGTCTCACGATCTCGACCGTAGAGTCGAGTTCGTTCGTACGACGCGCTATACGAAAAATAAGTTTAAAAAAAACATAAATAAACAAAACCAGTTTATGAAACATTTTCAGAAATTTTTTTCGTGCCAAAAAAAAAGAAAATTTTTTTCATGTAAAATTATATAATAATAATAATTAATATAATTTTCTTATTATTATTATTATTAATAATAAATTAAAAATACAAAAACTAAATATTTTTTATAAATGTAAAAATAATTTTTTTTTGTTTTGGAATATGAAGAAAGCTAAGGATAAAATTTTAAATAAAATTCCTATTGTTTACGATCTCAGTTCAGTGTTTGCTAGTGACGAATGGGAAAAATAAAAATTAACAGGGATACTAAAAAGAGATACTTCAATTTGCAAAAAAAAAAAAAGGGTAAGATGTCATTCTATTCACAGAAATTTAATTTAATGGAAAAAGCAAATTTTTGAGGCCAAAAAATTATTATGTGGAAAAAAATTAATTTTGTAAAAAAATATTTTTATTAAAAAAATTAATTTTTTTTCTATTCAGACACCTGGTGGGGACTATGCAAATAAGTATACAGTTAGAGTGGGGAGAGGGCAGAACTGAGAAATTAGTAAACGAATAATAATAATAATAATAAAGATAAAAAAATATTCAAATAGTATTATTATTATATAAATTAAAAAAAAAATAAAATTAGAATATAACAAAATAAAGATATTATTTATTTATTAAGAATAAATTTAATTTCGTTAAATATTCTATATTAATTTATTTTTAATGAAAATTGAAAGAAAATAGAAAAATAAATATTGCGAAAGTGAAGACACTTTTTGCATTCATTTGAGATTAATAATTAATTAATTTCATCTTCGTTAATATGACATCTCGTATAATATTAAATTGATGGTCCATCGGAAAAGTAAAAGCGCAACTTTTTATCAGTCATAAATGAATCGAGCAAATCATGCTCGATTTTAATCGGTCTAATTGCAAGTTAACTTTCTCTGTTGACGCTAAATCGAAGACATTATAATTACTATTATTATTATTCTCATTATCATTACTATTACTTTTATTATTATTATTATTTTTATTATTCTCATTATTTTTATTATTATTTTTGTTATTATTTTTATTATAATTTTTATTATTATTATTATTATTTTCATTTTTATTATTATTATAATTATTATTTTTATGATTATTTTTATTTTTCGATAGTCTTAGCTAGTACATTTATATTTTTTTTTTATATGAAATGCGAGAGATTAATTTTTAAGGATTCAGGTATTCTCCACGCTTCAAGGATTAAAGTTACGTTACATGTGGCGCACGAAAGTGAAATTCTGTGCGTTCCTGGTTAACACGATGATTGAATTAGATAATGAAAAAAAAAAGAACTTGGTTAATTATAAAAACCAATCTCTCCTCGAGTGAAATCGCAATTTTTTTTTTATATATACATATTGCAATTGAGAAATTAAATGTTTAATAATTTAATGTCGACTTCTATTTTTTTATAATTATACAAATTAATAATTATTTTTATAACAAACTGAAAGTTAATAAGAAGAAATAAAAAAAAAAAATTGTTGTTGTTCTATAAAAATTAAAATTCCCTGAAATTTCTATATATATAAAATGAAATAAAAATAAATCGTCAGTAAATAAATTAAATTTAAAAAAAAAACACTAGTAAATTGTAATTTAAAATTATTTTTGATTTTTATTTAAAAAAAAAAACGAAATAATTATTTTTATTTATTTTGCATATATATAAACGAGTAATTTTTAGATTTTTTTTTTTTGTAATGAAAAAAACTTTTTTTTTTCTCTCCAAACAGCTCTATTTTTTCAATGTGGTTGTGGCGATATATTAATTCGAAGCACGATTTCCTTTGGCGATCATTGAAAACTTATTACCCTAAAAAAACTATGAGTTCCAGTCTGATTAGCTCACACGTATATCGTTAAGACAGCAATTAGATTTCGCATTCGTGTCACGAGAGTCTATATATTTTAATGAATAATCAACTGGTATGTTGATTTTTAATATATATAAAATAAAACATGCGTATATATATATATAAATTAAAACAAAAAAAAAAAAAAAAAGAAAACCAAATAGAAAACAAATTCCTTTGAAAGAGAATCTAATGAGAAAGTTATAGTTAGTTATAAAACAATAAAAACTAATTAAAAACGCGAGTATAATACTTTTTTTATCACAATTTTATACAATAAATAATTCAATATAACAATATTGTAATTAAAAATAATAATAATAATAATAATAATAATAATAATAATAATAATAATAATAATAATAATAATAATAATAATGATTTTAATATATTAATAAGTAATACAATTATATATTTTGATTAGAAAATAATGGAAGACTATATTCCGGGACGTAATCCCTAGACTAGGTCTATTGGACCCAGACATATAATAATAAAGTAATCACTGTAACATTTATTAAATTTTTATATTTTTAATGATTACGATGATTTTGAAGAAGCTATATTTAAAAAAAAACCCGATTTAAATTTACAAGAAAAATAATAATTTGTAAAAAAAATATCGAAGAAAGAGTTAAAAAAAAAGATACTTCATGAATTTCCAAGAGATTCACTCCTTCTTCATATGGATATTCATGTCTGGAGAATGCAGACATTCCACACGTCACACACACACACACACACACACTCACAAGTTTTGTTTGTATGTGTGTATCTTTTGCAATCTTTGCATATATGGATTATTAATATTCTCATCTTTCGCATATATATGCCATGTTCGTAATAAGTTGTAATGTGTAAAAGCGTGACCGTGACACGTCATATATGTGAGTGCAAAGTCACTAGACAAAAGCCAATTTTTATTATTGCTGAACAACGCATGCAAAAGTAACAAGCTCGCGCGCTCTTTCTTTTATCCCCGGCATGGAAAAACTGATTGTAAACACTGGTTAATGGACCTTCAATATATATACTTTAAAGTAAAGGCTCCTCACACAGACACAGACAACAAAACTGTCTATATAGAAAACGAGTTGTTTTTCATTTTAATGGCTTACTGAAAAAGTGGTCTTGAATTACATTATATGTATATAGCTCCTAGAGCATTTGGAGGAAATTGACTTTGCGAAGATGGAAATTTGATATTTGATGGTCGTTTTCTTTTTTTTTGTTTTCAATTTCTGTCTGGTTATATTGCCGTTCAAATTGATCGTTAAAAATTATTTCAGTGTTAAACAATTTTTTTTTATGATGATAATATAATTAATGGATTTCTTTTAGGTTGAAAAAAATTACGACTTTTAGATGAGAATCGATTTTTTATTATGAAAATTTTGAGTGATTTTTGGATAAAAGGTTTTTGGAAAACTAGGGCTAATTAGGAGCTTTTTGTTAATCGTGAAAATTTGGTACAGAAAGTACAGCTGCTCTTGCTGAGCCTTTACAAAATTGCGATTTTACCAAAGTTTTATGAAAAAATCACATTTTTATTGTTTTTTCTCAACTAATTAGTAATTTTCTCGAATTTAGGATGCTAAAACTAGGGCTAATTAGGAGCTTTTTGTCAATCGTGAAAATTTGGTACAGAAATTACAGCTGCTCCTGCTGAGCCTTTAGAAAATTGAGATTTTACCAAAGTTTTATGAAAAAATCATACTTTTCCTTAATATATTAGTGATTTTTTTGAACTAGGGTTGCTAAAACTAGGGCTAATTAGGAGCTTCTTATTTATTGTGAAAATTTGGTATAGAAAGTACTATTGCTTTAACTGAGCCTCTGTAACATAACGTTTTCACGAAAGTTTTATGCAAAAAAATCTCATTTTTATTGTTTTTTCTCAACTAATTAGTAATTTTCTCGATTTAGGGATGCTAAAACTAGGGCTAATTAGGAGCTTTTTGTCAATCGTGAAAATTTGGTACAAAAAGTACTATTGCTTTAACTGAGCCTCTGTAACATTACGTTTTCACGAAAGTTTTATGCAAAAAATCTGATTTTTATTGTTTTTTCTCAACTAATTAGTGATTTTCTCGAATTAGGGATGCTAAAACTAGGGCTAATTAGGAGCTTTTTGTCAATCGTGAAAATTTGGTACAGAAAGTACAGCTGCTCCTGCTGAGCCTTTACAAAATGGCAATTTTACCAAAGTTTTATGAAAAAATCACACTTTTCCTTAACATATTAGTGATCTTTTCGAACCAAAGTTGCTAAAACTAAGGCTAACCTGGAGCTTTTTATTATTCACGATATTCCAGTCCAAAAAAAAAGTTAACAAGCTTCGATTTTGATTAAAACTTTTGCATAAAATCCGAGTTTTCACAGTGAAAACTAAAAATTTATTTCTAAATTTTTGAAAAACAACTCCAAAAATGAAATTTTTCAATTAAAATCTTTTTTTGTTCTGTTAAACATTAGATTTTGTATCGGCTAAAATTTTAACTCTCAACATTATCCGATGATGATATATAGTCTTTTGGAATGCTTTGACGGAAGACAAAAGTGCAAATGCATGTGTGTTTGTGACAAAATTATGCATTCAGAAAGGTAAATAGAGGAAAAAATAAAGAGGGACGAAAGAAGAAGGTTGAATGACCAGAAGGAATTCGTCATTCAAAGAAGTAAAAAGAATGTGTTCCCTGTTTTGCATTTTATTTCTCTCATTTCATTGTGTATATATATTTTTTTATAATGTTGAAATTACCTGATGAAATAATTGTAAATTTTCTCTCTCTCTCTCTTTTCACGATAAAAGAATTTTAATGTTTTTACAAAACAATATTACAACATTATTTTTATAGTTTTTAAATCGCGTGTGTCATGTGTGAATTTCAATTGATATGAATATTAATTACCTCTAGACTCTAGAGCATTTTATCCTTATAGTAAAAGTTGATTATATCAATGGGTAAAATAATTACTAATTTCTAATCTTTGGTTTTTTTTTTTTTTTAATGTAAAAATTAAATTTTCAATTCACTCTAGCTATTTGGATTTGAAACCGGAATAAAAAGTAGAATTAAAAAAAGAGAAAATTGATTTTAAAGAGTCTATTAACGACAAACTTTGATAAAGGAGGCAATAAGGGTGATGATGCTATTAGAAACGATGATGATATTAATAATCATAGTGATATTCTTAATGTCCTTGACCACCGTAATGATACTAGGGATGATGATGATGATAATGATGATGATGTTGGAAACCTTGTTATTATTAATAATAGTGACATCAAAAATAAAGCAAAAAAAAAATCGAAGTATGATAAAAATTACCAATAATGAGAATAATTTTGTTATTGATACCAATAATAATCATTATCTCCGAAAGTTAATCATTTTTATTTGAAAAATTGTACTCTGAGATAAAAATTTTAAAAATCAGTTTTTTTCTCTTGCAAAAAAAGTTTTTTCCGATCTATTTGAAAAAACCATCATCATCAAGGAAGTAATAAAAATTTCCTTTTTGCAGGTAGCCTGACATCGGCATCTACTTATCCGTGTGTGTGTTGTGTACGATGGGAACCTACTCGCCAAAGATCGTGATGAAAAGAAAAAGTAAACGATTGTTATGTGCGCAAAACGGTAAAGAAAGACGTAATTGATGTTACGATGTGTCCCAGTGAACCCTTGCGGTGGCCCTTAATAGCTGTACTAGCCGAGACTTTACGAACTGAGGGACTTTAAACGATTAAGGTGAATTTTGTGCCCGTGAGGAAATAAAAAAAAAAAGAAAAAAAGAAAAGAAAAGGAAGGTACAAAAAGTGCCGTCATGTCATCAAGTGGTGAATTCTCGACGCTCTCAAGCGGCGAGGCTACCGGAACTGGTGAAGATTCCTTACCAAGTTCACGTGAGGCTACCGCAGACGTTGCAAGTTCTGGCGTTGGTTTTATGCCACTTCGTGAATTCCTGGACAGATTTTCCCTGCCAAGAGTCGTGCGAGTCGAAGGCGGCGGTGGCAGGCCTATTTTGCTCTATAAACAACAGCAAAGGTCACTCAGGGTCACTGCAACATTGCTGATGCACCGTTATAGGCACGACATTAAAGTTGGTCCCGAAATCGTTATTCCCGAGGGATATCCTGGTGAGTAAGACATTTTTTATCTTCATTTTTTTTTTTGTATAATTTTTTTGTTATTGAATTAATTCAATTTTTACTGTTTTGATAGAATTTTATTTTAAGAATTTAAATTACGATTTTCGAGCATTATGATCAGTAAAATTAGAGCTAACATGGAGGTTATTGTCAAAATGTGGAAATTTAGTTCGAAAATTACTGCTGCTCCTGCTGATACTTTAAAAAATTGCAATTTTACTGAAATTTTACAAAAAAAAAAACACATTTTTATCATTTTTTCTCAACTAATTAGTGATTTTTTCGAACTAGGGTTGCTAAAACTAGGGCTAATTTGGAGCTTCTTGTCTATTGTAAAAATTTGGTCCAGAAAATACTGCTGCTCCTGTCGAGTCTTTTATAGAACATTCCAAAATCACATTTTAATCACTTTTTACCGGGTTTTTATTAAAAAATTACAATTTTTCGGAAATGTGTTCGACAAAACTAGGGCTAACCTGGAGCTTCTTGTCAGTCATGAAATTTTGATTCAAAAAAACCTGCTGCTCCTTTGATATTTCTATTTTATTTAGAAAAAATCGCATAAAAAATCACATTTCTAACTAAAAATTAAAAATTCTTCTATAAAAACTAAAGAATGCTAAAACTAGGGCTAATTAGGAGCTTTTTGTCAATCGTGAAAATTTGGTACAGAAAGTACAGCTGCTCCTGCTGAGCCTTTACGAAATTGCGATTTTACCAAAGTTTTATGAAAAAATCACATTTTTATCGTTTTTTCTCAACTAATTAGTGATTTTTTTGAACTAGGGTTGCTAAAACTAGGGCTAATTAGGAGCTTCTTATTTATTGTGAAAATTTGGTATAGAAAGTACTATTGCTTTAACTGAGCCTCTGTAACATTACGTTTACACGAAAGTTTTATGCAAAAAATCTCATTTTTATTATTTTTTCTCAACTACTTAGTGATTTTCTCGAATTATGGATGCTAAAAGTAGGGCTAATTAGGAGCTTTTTGTCAATTTTTAAAAAATTGCAATTTTACTGAAATTTTACAAAAAAAACACATTTTTATCATTTTTTCTTAACTAATTAGTGATTTTTTCGAACTAGGGTTGCTAAAACTAGGGCTAATTAGGAGCTTCTTGTCTATTGTAAAAATTTGGTCCAGAAAATACTGCTGCTCCTGTCGAGTCTTTTATAGAACATTCCAAAATCACATTTTAATCACTTTTTAATGGAATTTTATTAAAAAATTGTAATTTTTCGGAAATGTGTTCGACAAAACTAGGGCTAACCTGGAGCTTCTTGGCAGTCACGAAATTTTGATTCAAAAAAACCTGCTGCTCCTTTGATATTTCTATTTTAATTAGGAAAAATCGCATAAAAAATCACATTTCTAACTAAAAATTAAAAATTCTTCTATAAAAACTAAAAAAATCATTGTCATTTTGACACTCTCGGCTTCGAATAAATACAAAAATTGAAAAAAGAAAAAATTATTATTCACTCATTTATCAGTTGTCATCTCTTGAGAAAAAAAAGCGAATAATGCAAGCCTCGAGAGATTGCACATCAATCCACTTCTGATAAAGGTCTCAAACTGAGGCGGATTCCTAGAAAAAGGAGCACACAAAGTCTGAAGGATGTTTTATCTCTCCAAGAGCAAAAAAAAAGCTTATCGAAAATTCAAATCAAAATTTACAAGATGAAGAGGTAATTTTTTTTTTCACGTCGAGGCAACAAACATAAGTTCACAACAAAGAGAAGAGTGTAAAAAAAATCATTAAACAAAACTGTAGATTAAGAAACTGAATTTTTGTAACAAAAAAAAAAAGAGAGTCGGATTTGTTTGTATCAGTGAATACAAGAAGTTTCTGAATTGTTTAGCGAAATGAAGGAGATTGTAAGAACAAATGAGAGGATGCTGTGGGGGAGAAAAAAATTATCAGGACCCTGAACCTGGTGTGGAACGTATAAAGTCGATCGATTCAGGAATCTAGTTGGAACATTTCCATGTTGCATGTGAGGATGTAACGATCTTGCTCGAGGATCCTGGGCAAAGAATGACAAGACTTTGGAATTCCTCAGGAATCTCGGAAATCTCAGCGCAGAAGCTCCTATTCCTGAATCTCGGGAACTTTCTTTTTTTTCCATTAGAGAAAATGTAAATGAAACGATAATTTTTAATCAGAAGATTTTAGTTTTGAATGCTGCAAAAAAATATAATTTTCCTCATGGAATTTTAGTTTTCTGTCATATTTTTCAAAAAAAAGTGGCCCTAAAGGAGCTTCAATTGTTTTTGAATCAAAATTCAACGACGGACAAAAAGCTCCACATTAGCCCTAGTTTTATTCAACTGTGAAAGTTTGACAAACTGACAAAATTTAAATTATTTGATAATCTTATTAAAATAAAAATAGATTTTATTTTGAAAAAAAAAATATTAGAAAAAAATTTATTTTTAAATATACAATAAGGAAGAAATTAAATTGTTTCCCTTCAACTATATGAATGCAGTTTATAATTCATTTGTATTCATTGAAATGTATTATGATACGTTATGGTAATACACTCCTTGGATTATCCGCGACGTCGTATGTCACTGACTAAGCCGAGCTTGAATAATAGTATTCGCGATTATTACACCGTCATAATCCACGCAGAGAGAAAAAAAAAATTTTTTAATTCATACCCAAGTTGCAAAGGCTTAAAAAATTCACCGCTTTCATAGAAACCTCTAGCACTTTTACATTTCTATATTATGTTCGTAAATAATATTAAATTGTTACGTTATCTCATACACTCCCTCGCTATTTATAAAACCTCAAATGATTCAAAAAATTTAGTTCACTTTCTAAAAAAAATAAAGATTCAATTAACGATCAGCGATAATCTCTAAAATTATTCAAACAACGTTATCTGTTTATCGCAAAAAAAAAAAATTAAAGAAAACACTTTTATTTTTGATAATGACGGAGATAAGTGCTGAATAATAGAAGCTTCGAGTGAGGCTGAGTATGTGTTTCTTCTTTATATATACACGTATACAAAGTTGGCTTCATTGTTAACTGGCCAGTGCCACCCACAATCATCTGTTACTTTCTTTATATGAACTCGAGTTAAATTACTGCGATGCCTACCTACAACCTCGCAACACGGGTATACCTACTTATATAGATAGGGATTATATTATACGTATAAATATAAATATACACATGTAGGTACGAGTTATATCTACCATTTGTTCCTCTCCACGAAAGTACACTTGATTAAATGTTTTTCCAAGTCTTTTCATTAAAATGACCATCGTATTTCAATTTTTTCCCAAATCTTTTTTCGTTGTTTCCAATTCCTTGAACAATGGCTTTAATAAAAAATTAAATTTATTTTAGGTGTAGAAGTTAATTTTGAGGTTAGAATTTAGATTTTGTCAAACAAGTGATTTTTATCAAAAAAAATAGGGGCTCCAATTGTTTCTGAACCAAAATTTTACAACGGACAAAAAGCTCCAGGTTAGCCCTAGTTTTACTGAACCCATTTCTGAAAAATCAAATTTTTTTTTAAAAAATCACGAAAGAATGATTAAAATGCGATTTTGGTATATTATACAAAAGACTCAGCAGGAGCAGCTGGTTTTTTAAAATTAAAATTTCTCGAGGGGCAAAAAGCTCCAGGTTAGACCTAGTTTTACCGAACTCATTTCTGAAAAACCACAATTTTTTTTAAGAAAATCACGAAAAAAGTGATTAAAATGCGATTTTGGTAAATTATACAAAAGTCTAAGCAGGAGCAATAGGTTTTTCAAAACCAAAATTTCACGACCAACAAAAAGCTCCAGGTTAGCCCTAGTTTTACTGAACCCATTTCTGAAAAATCAAATTTTTTTTTAAAAAATCACGAAAGAATGATTAAAATGCGATTTTGGTATATTATACAAAAGACTCAGCAGGAGCAGCTGGTTTTTTAAAATTAAAATTTCTCGAGGGGCAAAAAGCTCCAGGTTAGACCTAGTTTTACCGAACTCATTTCTGAAAAACCACAATTTTTTTTAAGAAAATCACGAAAAAAGTGATTAAAATGCGATTTTGGTAAATTATACAAAAGTCTAAGCAGGAGCAATAGGTTTTTCAAAACCAAAATTTCACGACCAACAAAAAGCTCCAGGTTAGCCCTAGTTTTACTGAACCCATTTCTGAAAAATCAAATTTTTTTTTAAAAAATCACGAAAGAATGATTAAAATGCGATTTTGGTATATTATACAAAAGACTCAGCAGGAGCAGCTGGTTTTTTGAAATTAAAATTTCTCGAGGGGCAAAAAGCTCCAGGTTAGACCTAGTTTTACCGAACACATTTCTAAAAAATCACAATTTTTTAAGAAAATCCTAAAAAAAGTGATTAAAATGCGATTTTGGTAAATTATACAAAAAACTCAGCAGGAGCAGCTTGGTTTTTTTTAAATTAAAATTTCTCGAGGGGCAAAAAGCTCCAGATTAGCCCTAGTTTTACCGAACTCATTTTTAAAAAACCACAATTTTTTAAAGAAAATCACGAAAAAAGTGATTAAAATGCGATTTTGGTAAATTATACAAAAGGCTCAGCAGGAGCAATAGGTTTTTCAAAACCAAAATTTCACGACGGACAAAAAGCTCCAGGTTAGCCCTAGTTTTAATGAACCCATTTCTGAAAAATCACAATTTTTTTTAAGAAAATCACAAAAAAGTGATTAAAATGCGATTTTGGTAAATTATACAAAAGGCTCAGCAGGAGCAACAGATTTTTCAAAACCAAAATTTCGCGACGAACAAAAAGCTCCAGGTTAGCCCTAGTTTTAATGAACTTTCTCCTTAAAAAAACAACACTTAAGTTCAAAAATTTTGCAATGGACAAAAAATCCATTGTAACTTCAATTATTTTCTCTCTAAATCTGCAATTATCATCAAAATCATGAAATGACTTTTTTCAAGACCACTTTTGATGACTTGACATTTGTGTAACTTTTGTTATACAA